GAAACGGCTAATGGTTAAATATAAGTGTTGATAACATCCATGGAATAACCAACTAAAGTAGGCAATGAAGGATTGATTGACAATGTAGAATTTGCCCTTTCTTATCATTAGGTGAGTTGAATACACTTTCGTCGCCTGAGATCCAAAATGTCCTATCTCCATTGTACAAGTTTTGAGAAAATATAATTTCTCAACATTTAATTTTATAAGTGCTATATAATATTAACTTAACGAACGATATGTATTTTCTTCACATAAAGCAAACAAATACAAATTAATTGATATGCTAAAGCAAAAGTTATAATCCCTCTTCTCATTTACAGATAATTGCTACTTTAATTTTCAAAATTAAATTTTGTTTTAAGATTTATACTGTTCTATCTTCACTGGGTACGGGTGGCCCAGTCGTCTAGGGCGCCGCGATTCGATGTGCAGAGTTGCGTCCCTTGGGCACGCCAGAAACCTACGGTTGTGGGTTCGAATCCTAGTTCGACCCGATTATGTTGCTAGGTTTGTCAGCACCATACCCGTGCTCGTGGGTTTCACCGAAGTGGTAAACGTCTGGTACCTGCACCACTTCGGGCTTTCCCCAAACATTAAGTTGACACACCGTGGTATAGCTGGAATACTGTTAAAAGCGGCGTTAAATCAAACTCACTCACTAACTCACTAACTCACTCAATCTCCATTTCTATTTTCTTTAATCTTTATGATTTATTTCAAATCTGCACGTGGCGACAAAGGAGCCTTCCCTTAAACAGCGCCGTCTGAAATTATACTTACAGTACATCACAAAAATGGTTTTTTATCATCAAATCCACCTTTCGATTTAATCCTCTTTCTGAAGAAAGAATTACAAACATCATCTTTTTTCCACCACTTTGAATAAGAATCAATTCCGCTGCTAATATTAAACTTTACGATATAGATCCCACCCAACTTTGTTCTTCGACTCCCGGACAAATGGTAACGCTAGATGTAGACCTTACATTAACTAAACCTAGGAAATCAGAAACATAGTAACCAATTTATCAATTAAGAAACACGTATGACAGCTACAAATCTATATAAATAAATGGATCCAAGGATAATGGCGCAGTTGCAAGTGCAACTATCATTTGACCCAGAACAATATCTTTAAGATTACCAGATAACAGCTCCATTTTCTCAGCAGAAGAAAGGGCCATTTTAATAGTTCTAAAATACATCAATAACCAATCTAAACATTAACAGTTCATAATATTTTCAGATTCTCGGGCCTTCAGGCTATTAAAGGTATGTCATGTAAACATTATTTTCTTTTACTTGATATTGTTGAATTATATAATGATCTTGCTACTGGCCAATATGAAATCCTCTTTTGTTGGTAACTCAGTCATGTTGGAATCATATTGGCAACACAATCTGTGACACCGATTATGATGTAGATGTTACAATAAAGTGAGTGAGTGAGTTGGGTTTAACGCCGCTTTTAAGGGTATTCCAGTCATATCGCGGCGTGTCAGCTTAATGTGGGAGGAAAGCCCGAAGTGATGCAGGTCTAGTTACAATAAAGATATGAGGGGACCATCCAAGTAGGTTTTAATAAGTTACATGTAATCAAACCATCTCTCGGTTGGGTTGTCTTTGGGTTGTCAGTCCAGATTTGAAGAGGTCATTTACGACGATGTCGTATTGGCCATAACAAATGAACAAATACAGAAAAATATTTTGACACGAGAGTGAGATTTAATTTATTATCCAATACCATTCTTTTAACTTTTGTTTGTAGACAGTATTAAGCAGTGTCTTAAGTGAAAAAAGTACTGCTAACAGCTTCAGTAGCCGAGCCATCAGTGATGCCATTTGATTGTGACGTCGTGGTAACAATGACGTCACAATGGTCTGCAAAGCAGATCCTCCATCTGACTCACCCTCACTTATTAATACTTCTTGGTCTTTGAACTGGAGGTTCGAGTCAATGTTGGAATCCATACTGTAGTCACGGTCGATTCTTAGTATAATTGTTGAATGATTCTCTTTGTTGACTGTCCTGACTAGTAGGTAATCTTAGACACCTTGTCGACATCAATGTTTAGTCACACTCGATTCTTAGTGTATATTTAATCATAGATGTTGACGTATGAGAATCGGGACGAAGCTCTCCGTGCGTCATATCTGTCCGCCATTTGGTGTTGCATATGAAAGGGGCGTAACGGCGACTTGATTTTTTTCAGTTTTGGTAAAAAAGAATTTAAACTCATTTTTCATATTTCTCTACCGACTTCTAAGTGTTTAGCAAAGGTTTCAAGTATTACGTATAGTTGCACAGTTGTATCTGCCCTTATGACGTAATATTACAATGGAGAATGGCAACACCTACTGTGTGATGGATGAAAACAATGTCATACTCTTATCTTGTTTTATCTTGATTATACAATCATCCACTGGTAAGTAAGGATAACTTGAGTTGTGACCTGACAATTAACTCTGTATGAATACATGTATGTGTGAGGTCCGCCCACTGGCGCGTACCATTGTGAAGAAAGGGTAGAAAGTATCGTGACAGACAGACCAGTGCCAATGCTTGAGAATTTACTGTGAAAAGCATTTTAGAGAATTTTGGTATCGTATCGACTTCTTAATTGTCTTATGAGCAATCATAGATACCATCGTCATGACCTGCTCGTGCATAACACCCTCTCTATCTGTAACAAACCAAATATGTTTGCCCAAATTCTGTGCACCGCCTTCTTGTCTCAAAGCCATTTTGTAAGTTGGTTCAACTTATTCTGGATTACCAGTGATGTGTTTATTGTCTACGCACTTTCCCCAGGGTGGTGGTTTTCTTATCATGTTTAATATTTCCTGTAAATATTGTCTTTGTGTTCTACACCATGTAATATAATCAGGGTTTACATATCATATGTCTGTTCTACTTTGAAGGAAAACACAGACTTTATATAAACGAGTATATTATCGTGAACACTGTCGAATGTGTGTTATAATATTTCTTTGCGTTGTTGAAAATTACAATACATCGTCCTCTCATTGCAGGTCAAGATAAGAGAGTTTATACCAATGGCCTACGCTCAAGTCCTTCTTTTTCTTCCACTGGTTCTGATGTCATCTGCCATTATTAGCGATGACGTCAAATCCCTGATATACACGCTACAAACTAAGTACTGTGGCCGATCTCTCTGTTCAAAAGACACATCCCATACTCCTCCAGTATGTCTGGAACAGTATCCAGTCACTTTGAGGCGCAAAACCGTAGGCGGTACTACTGTCGTGACGAATCTCAACACAACTGTCGAAAACTATACCTTAGATTCATCCAGTGTATTCAACATGAAGACCAGCAGAGGAATTACCACCATCAGCCCACAGACCAGCTCGCCTGAGTCAGCTCCTGCAAGTGAATATTTTGAACACATTCTGACTCCGGAGATATTACAGCAGTGCGAGCCGTGTTGTGAATGTTCATGTCATGATAGTTGTGTGGTATTTGGAGATTGCTGTGCTGATAAAGAGATTGGTGGGAAGTATTTCTTTGACTGTGAATTAATCGAAAAGTATCACGGTGGAGGTGTTAATTCAGACTTTATCCTAACTGTAACAAAATGTCAGCAAGATGCTCCCAGCTACACTGAAGACCTTGCTGAGAAATGCGAGCATGGAGAACTTGGGTACGTCCAAGATGGCCGCCTGGTGACGGCGCCACATCCCTTCAACACCAGCGTCACCTTTAGAAACAAATACTGTGCTGCATGCTATGACGTCAACAACTACACACCATGGGACGTGTATATCAGCTGCCGAGAAGACTTCGATTCATCCAATTACACAGACATAAATTCATTGATACGTTCAGCAGAGGAAATACATTGCTCGATTTCAACTAATATAAAAAATAAAGACTACTATAACACATGTTTTTTAGGAAGAAAATTGGTTTCAACTTGTAATGTTACTGGACTTTGGCAGGAATACAACAAAAGCATAGAACAGGCGTGTCACTCCTATTACAACCCAACACGAATGTACTATAAAAACATCTTCTGCCATCTATGCAACGGAGAACCAGAGCAGGAACTGAAATGTCCTTCGGAGTGTCATATTTTTGAAGTTCTCGAATTTTCTCTCACGCCCTTTGCTGCATTGCTCAATTTTGAAAATTCAGATGCAGAAGTTGTTGTAAGCCCAGGGGGACAAGAAGGCATCTACCAATCAATTAAACGATTTGGAGATCAGACACATGCTCAGTGCAGAGATGGAGATATTTATGACTCATGTTCCGTGAGTATTACATAAATCATGTATAAGATGTAGATGAAATAGTACGTAGTGACCGAGGATAAATTAGGTGAGATCAATGATCAATAGTAGTTTGTGGATGGTGCCCTCTACAATGTTTACAAAAAATAATGATAGTATCCATATGGGTTCTGGATGAGCTATAAACTAAAATAAACATGCACATAATTTCAAGCGAGTTATACTGTTGACGTTATATTGATTCATTTACTAACTTAATAATCACATCACAAATGAAACATTGCGTAATGATGTCAAAATAAATGGTGAGTATTGCTGATGCTATGCTGTAAGTTTCCAATGCAGAAAGACCCGTTCCACTTCACTACGGCTTATTCATATAAGGGGATAATAAGGACACACGAGGTGTAATATTTTATTGATTTTGTGTTTTCTCCATATATTTCCATAGCAGTGATTCGAGATATAAACACGCTCATGAAATACTCTATTTATACCCACAATGACGTACTACAATGCTGTATATATCTAAAATATAAAAACCTTCATCTTTTTCAGAAAAGGTGTCGAGAAACATACTGTCCTTTATCAGAACGAAAGGATAACTCATGCATTCAACTGGTACCAGATGAACATTTGATCCTCACCACATGGTATGCCACACTGTCATTTAATGAAGATGTCAAAAGTTTACCTTTCAATCCACCCACTTTTCTTTTTCCTTTCGGTCAAAAGTTTCAGACTAATATTCAAAACTTGCTAAGTGAATATGGATTCTTTATCTATGTAATGACAGAAAATTCTTATGCACGTATCAAGAATGCTGACAACCTTGTTGTTGATGAAGTTCATTTACATTTCACACTTCTTCTCATGCCAAATTACACCCTTGAATCTTCAAGAGAACGTTTAGCTGCTTTACACAATGTGACACTGAACATGACCGTGGCAGGGACGACATTGGAAGTTGAAATACAACCAGTTACAACACACAGAAATGTACAGGACAAACTGATGTTGCCGCCAACAATGTTCCTACAAATGTTACATTCTTCTATGCATCTCGACATGTCACTAAGTATCAACGTTCCACTTGCTTTTAACATGACATGCTCAATGGCTGAATTTGGCAGTCGGGAAGTTATCCGTGTAAACCAGTCTGTCTTCATACATGGAGATATAGAACTGAATGAACATGAGTACTTTACAATAAAGCACGGAACCTACATTATATGTCTTGATGCAGTTTTCAGAAGACGGAAAGAGATGGTCGTACAAATGCCAGCTTATATAGCACCGGCATTTCTTGCGTCTAAAATAACTACAGCGGTATGCCTATCCCTCAGCATACTCTTCCTCCTCCTCACCCTGTTGGTCTACATCCTGATTAAGGAGCTACATACTGTGCCAGGCCTCAACCTCATCCTGCTTTCATCCTCCCTCTTCCTCGCACATGTGTTTTATCTGTTTGGAGCTGGAACTGTCACCACCCCGACCATCTGCACCGTCATTGGAGTCCTCCTTCACTACTTCTGGCTCGCGTCCTTTGCCTGGATGAACGTCTGTTGTCTACACATGTTCAGAGTCTTCACCAACCTCTTCTCCTCGCTACACTTTGCTGACAACAAGGAGTCTCTGATGATAAAGTATTCAGTTTTTGCTTATGGTGTTCCCCTGGTCATTGTAACGATGACGTTAACTATCACCTACATCCAGTCTGGCAACACAACTGTTGGCTATGGTGGTCCTGCTCTGTGTTTCGTAGCTCCTGGATTGGTGTCACTTGTTTCCTTTGGTGGTCCTGCTAGTCTAACACTTGTCATCAACGGGGTATTATTTCTTTGGACGATGATCTCCATACGACGCAGAAACACACAAAGTGAGTCATTGGGAAAGAAACAGGCAAACGACGTCATTACATTCTTCAAACTGTCTACCATAACAGGCCTGTCGTGGTTGTTCGGCTTCGTTGGCTACTTCCTTCAGAGAGTGGAGCTGATGTATGTGTTCACTGTGCTGACAGCTGGCCAGGGCGTCTTCATCTTCCTCTCGTTCGTTGTCAGTCGGCGGATCCTCAAGCTAATCAGAGACCATCTCAGATGTCTGTGGGCGAAAAAGGAGAAAGGCCATGTAAACACGACAGAAGAGTCAGCTGCAACAGGTGCTTCAATGACGAACTCATATCAAGGAAAAGAGACACGCATGTACTATTAATTATGCATAAAAAACATCAACATGGCCTTCACACTATTTAATTTCACCTCTTTTATATACATAAAAAGAGGTGAGGTATGTGTGTACAGTTGCAATGTGACGTCATAAATATATAAATTTACTTTATATACATGTACTTCCGCAGACTATTGAATTTCACTATTATATATATATATATATATATAAATAGTGAAATTCAATATATATATATATCAACGTCACTAAGTTATGACGGCATATTGCAACTACATAAATACTGTAACGTGGTGATGCAATGAGGTCACATTGGCGGCTTAAAATGACATTTATATAAAAGAGAGGAAATTAAATAGTGTGCAGCAGCTCATAAATATAGTAAATTCACAAAATTAGCGTCCGTCAACAGCAGATAAGGTGCATCTCCTTTATATCCTTCACATCGACAACTGTGCAGCCGGGAGGGAAATACAATTTAAGATATTTCCTTTCTTTCAATGTTTGTTTGTTTGCTAATACCATGTAGCCTAATGCTAAAACGTTTTTCATTAAATAGTTGTGTCCATGTTTAAATATGTTACGCGATGTGTATAAATTATATTTGTATGTTTTGAGAATGTTACTACTGTCGTTTTAAGCCACTATGTGACGTCATTGGAACACCACGTCAAAGTATGTGTGTACAGTTGCAATATGACGTCATAACTTAGTGACGTTACAATACAATCTTCAACTGTAATTACATCTCCCTGAAGATAAAACTGAAACATGCGGGAAAATTCGTGCCGTGTGAATATTTCGTGAATATTCATAAGAAACCTCTGCTGAAAACAGTGTACGTTGTACAATTCCGGCTATATCATCAACATGTGTTTATGTATCACTATAGAATAATGATGATACCAGGTGTGGAAATGTCCTCCACGTGTCTATCATAACATTTTGAGGAATGCTTTACTTAGGCCTTGAATGTTAGGACCTTGATTAAACAAAATCTGAGCAAAAGTTATATGACATGCTTTGAAATCCTGGTAGAAAGAGCATGATTGTACCTCAAACGTTGTGAAATGAAACTATCAAAGACAGGAGTTGCCGGGATATTGCTCGACATAAGGGGGAAATTGCATTTGGAAAGTTCAAGGCATAGAGAATCTCACCCGTGTGACTTTTGATATCAAATATATCAACACGAGTTGATAAAAGTTGGAAAACTCCGAGGCTCAAAAGACACGAGGGTGAGATATTATTTATCGTCCAAAATCATTCTTCCAACTTTTTCATCTGAACACGATGTTGAAAAGTAGCTCTTAGAATTTGAAAAGGTGGCTAACAGTTTAAAATGGCCTTTTGCTCATTTGACAATGTTGTTGCAAAGTGAATTTAGGGGTAGAGCACAGGAGGTTTGCACTGCCTAACCTATTGATAGGAGTTCTGATTATCGGGTTGTTAAGGCTGCAGTTTTGAAGGCTTAAGAATGGGTTCCATAAGTTTCTAGGCAAAAGGCTAGGTCTGCTAAGAAAAGGGATGGTTCTACTTTGGTTGACTGTGCTTTTGTTTGATGGGTGGTGTACTACTAAGGAAGTCAATGGTGATTTTGGTAGTTTGAAGCAGATGGTTTTGCTTGAAGAATTTAGGCAATGTGTGTCAACGGACATTCGGACATATCTTGATGAGCAGAAAGTCGATCACTTTCACCAGACTGCTACTTTGGTGATGATTATTAGTAAACTGATAGGGTTAGTTTTAGGCATTCATGGTTTTGAGGCAGGAGTTTGCTGCGGTATAGATCAGGAAAGGATAGTTCATCCACTTTTAGTTCTAGTTCTGACATTTCTGGTCTGGTGCAGAGTTTGTTGACAAAAAGCTAAGTTCTACTCCAGATGGTTCTGAACATACTTCTGGATTTCCGTTAGCACCTACTTGTAAATATTGTCGTAAGCCAGGGCATATCAATATGCCATTTATGAGTGCTAAACTCGCTCTTATTCTTCCTCTTATCCGATACTGGTGCTCTTCAAACCTATGCTTTTTGGACAATATTTTGTCACTTCCTGAGGAGTCATCAAATAACTGTGAGGTTTTGTTGGTTAGTATATTTTGGTTTTACCAGTGCGCCTCTCCATTATGTGAACTTAAAGACAGATTTGGTGTCTGGCTGGGTTTTGGCGGGGGTTGTTGAAACTCTTCCTGTTAAAGGTGTATGCCCTTATTGGGAATGATTTCGCAGGGCAAAATGTTTGGCTGATCCTGTGTTTGTCTTGAGCCTAGCACTTCGGAAAGTACTGACAATCTTGAAAAAGAAATTCCAGGTATTGTCCCTACCTGTGTACGCGTGCTATGAAAAAGCCCATTTCTTCTGAGAATGATTCCAAGTATGATTTGGCTGGCACTTTTATGGATCATTTTCGTGACCTGTCTAAATTGTCAAGGAAGAGTACTGAAAACAGTTCAGACAATTTGGCTGTTGAGGAACCACTTCTTGGTAGGGAGCAGTTGGTAACGTTACAGAGGGGAAGACCCTTAACTCAAAATTCCTGCCAATAGGGCACTCTCTCTACAAGAAGTTGACAAGGTTCGAGGTTGCAATTATTTCAAGGATATCATTTGTTGAAGAAATAGAGGTTGCCAGATATTCCTGCTGATGACGAATTGGAGGATATTGTTGAAATCAATTCCAGCCTTCGAAGAACCTTTCAGGAGAGTCATCATTGGTTGTGTTGTTCCTTTGTTAAAACTATGTCAGGTTATCAGTACATGCTAACTGTCATGTGTGCAACAGTTGTGTTAAAATTGATTGCACCCTGATTATCCAGCCTAGGCCTATTTTGGAAGCACGACCACTGTTGGTACAAGGGGAATATTATTATCTCTGACTTTATTGGTATTGCCACTGCCATTGTATTTGTACTGCCTTTGAATTTGGTATTGCCATGCTGTTGTGTACTGCCATTGTCAATTATTTGTAAAACTTAGTGATACAATTTCTGAATTGTGTACCATATCTTTAACGGTACCGATGTTTAAGTCGACACGTAACAGCATAATCTGCGAACGTTCCTATTCTTGGTGTTTTTCTGTGAAACTAAACCTTTTCATGAAGCCATTTCTGACAAAGCAGCTCTAAACGTTTCTTGATGGAAAACAAAGATGATATTCCGATGAAATATTATTTACGTCCGAACCAGTTATGAATGCTGTTGTTTCTTATTGCAATATTGTGTATGGTTAAGGACTTTTCTTCACAATGAATTATCAAATACTATTTGTGTCAAGTAACTGTTTAACTGTTGTTGAAACTCTCAAGGACGTACATAATTTTCATTTTGGTATAGGGGGATTCGCGATTCGCTGTGAAGAGTTGCGTCCCTTGGACACACCTGAAACCTATGATTGTGGGTTCGAATCCCGGTTCGCCCTGATTATGTTGCTAGGTTTGTCAGCATCATACCCGTGCTCGTGGGTTTCACCGAGCTGGTAAACGTCTTAGACCTACATCACCTTGAGATTTCCCCCCACATTAAGCTGACACGCCGGGATTTAACTGGAATATTGTTAAAAGCGGCGTTAAACCCAACTCACTCACTAACCACTCATTTTGATATATTTCCGGTTTATTTCGGATGGAGACAGAGGATGTTGTGTAGTTAATCTGTAAATCACAAAACAGGGATAAAATAAAATGATGGGTATACATGTATACATGTTGATAGGTATACATTTTTGTGTGTGGTTCCGTGTCCAAAATTATATACATTCGGTGATAAGGCAACAAAAAATCAGATCAGTTTTATCAGGTCTGTCCGCTAGAGTAACTGCCCTTTGCCAAAGGGAAGCTACTCTTACCCTAGTCTATGGACGTCACGGCCACGGTCAGACGTTGTTGACAGTCGGTCTGTCCGTTAGAGTAACTGCCCTTTGTCAAAGGGAAGCTACTCTAACCCTAGTCTATGGACGTCACGGCCACCGTCAGACGTTGCTGACAGTCGGTCTGTCCGTTAGAGTAACTGCCCTTTGTCAAAGGGAAGCCGCAGAGGTCTACAAGCACAGATATGGCTACTGATCCCGCTTGGCTAGGCCTCGTGCCCTCGCAAAATTGTTTCGAAATTTATATCTCCAAAGTTGCCAAAACTTATAAAATGCCCTAACTACGTCGCAGTTAGACACTGATTTTCAGTATATTAGACTGTTCTTTTGATAATGATGGCAATTATCCTTGTAGTTTATCCAGATTCCCGATGGTTAATTCAGACTCGATCGCCGAATGACGAGGGCGACGCCATGTTTGTTTATAAACAGTGAAAGTAGACCTACTTGACCTTTGATATTTGCATCTCTATCCGCATGTGACCCCAACGGACACCTTTTTATATGAAAACAGGATAACTTATATAGATGAGTGAGTGAGTGAGTGAGTTGTGTTTAACGCCGCTTTTAACAGTATTCCAGTTATATCACGGCGTGTCAGCTTAATGTGGGAGGAAAGCCCGAAGTGATGCAGGTCTCAGACGTTTACCACTTCGGTGAAACCCACGAGCACGGGTATGGTGCTGACAAACCTAGAAACATAATCGGGGCGAACCGGGATTCGAACCCTCAATCATAGGTTTCAGGCGTGCCCAAGGGACGCAACTCTGCACAACGATTCGCGGCGCCTTAGACGACTGGGCCACCCGTGCCCCCTTATATAGATGGAGATGTGTTAGTCATTGATTGAAAAAATAGAAAATACCATGCACATGTATTTGCCTTTGGAATGATTTTCCGATTAATGTCAATGTGAAAAGAGTGTTTCGTGTTAGTTTTATTGGAGATCTGTTACTATGTTAATTTTGAGAGGCGATTAAGTTTTTTATCAAACGGTGGGTAGGTGGTAGTTTTCACTCCTTGATGATTTTAAGGGGAGGGGGTGAACCCCCTTATTCCCCAATCTGGATCCACCACCGATGATTAGTTTAGTCATATACTGTGTGTAAATCTGAGATAAGATACAGTATGACAGCTGTTTGAGGTCAGACAGATGTGAATGTGGTATACAGTTTTAGAA